ACAAAATCAAGCTGGCGGATGTTTTAACGTTGGCTCTGGAACCGTAAATAAAATACTCACACGTTATTTCGGGACGCACATGGACGCTATTTTTAAAGGGTACGATTTTTGAAATAATGCTCATGTTCATTATTTTGCGGTTTTACGGTACAATCTATGCCTCTACTCTGAATCTATAATCGAAATACTAGTTAATATTCATGCCTGACTCCGGATTTTGGTAAGTCAGGATATTTTGGACGTCGGGATGTGGGTATCGGGATTATGTCTCCAGTATTTCAATTATGGTTATGGTGTACATGTAAATCTCGCAATATCTAAGCTAATTTTGTCCTTATACAAGTCAACTTCCCTATAATGACACTTTTATAACGGAATTCCCTCTAGCAACCAAATTTTCTAGAATGATTCATATAATGACATTCTCTTTATAAGGACAAAATTAGCCTGGGTATTTGATGTCGTTATAGAGGAGTTGACTTGTAAAGAGAATGTCATTATATAGAGTCAATTTTCCTATAGTAATATATGAATCATTCTAGAAAATTTGGTCGCTATAGAGGGAATTCCGTTATAAAAAAGTGTCGTGTAGTTTATTTTTGCGATTTGATTGGTTTATCCCTTGAAAAGCCACGTTAAAGGCTAGGGGTGGCGGATATGTGGCTAAACCGGCTAAACGGCTTGCCTTGCTTTAAGGAACTCCGAATCAGGTGATTAAGGACCGTAATTTGCCGCATAAACCACCCCCATTAGGAAAATTCGATTTTGAAGTCCCTATCACCGAAGAAAGCCACCATGGAAAGATATTGACACAAGACCTCCCATGATAGTATACCCCTTCTCCGTAAACCAGACCCGCCTGGTTCTGAGTCAATTTTTTAATAGGTTTAAAGTTTATGCGGTGTGTTATTTATGCGAGCCAATAACCGAAGATTTTTCGAATATATATTTTCCGAAGAAATTACGTAATGAAATCTGGACCAATCAAAATTTTGTCTCCGAGTCACTTTTTAAAAATATTTTAAAAACTTGTATCGAAAATAAAGGCAACTTTCACTTTAGAAAATCTTTCTTACCTCGTATATAAACTCTTAAATAATTTGCTTTAAATTGTGTAATGATTTCAACACAACTTCCTCACTTTCAATCGTAATATTTACTACAGTCCTGAGTATTGTGAACTAAACACTCATCACAGTATTTATTCTCTTGTCAATAAGTACATTGCAATGATGAGTATTTGATTCCATCTTTTATATTTGTGAATTTCCACATAGAATCATAAGTCATTATTATCGAGTAATCATATGTAATTGGATTTTTAATCATTCCATAATATGCTATCAAGTTGCTGTAATTATAGCATTTAAGCTCAGTCTGAATCTTGAATCAAAAGTTCAAACACAAATTGATGATTTTTTTACAACAAATAAAATTTACCACGCTAATCCGGCTATAATTATTGTTTTATTATTATCTCTGGTTTAAAAAATGGCCGGTTGCCTTTGTAAATTTAAGCATTCATTTTTCGGATTGATCAAAATTTATTGGTTTGTGCCACAAGTGCCATTTACTTTAAACAACGTATTTAGTATAATTATGGCTTAACCTGGCACATTTATTCATTTAGATGACTAAATCAAGTAAGCATAATTATTGAACATCTATTAAATTAAATAATCATACATGTGGCGTCGTCAACCTGGTTTCAATTTTTATACTAAATAAAGAAATTAAATCAGATTTATTATCCGAATAGCAACTTCCACTTTCGGAAATCATTGTGGCGCGTTTTTTACCAACACCAATATATAACGCATCAAGAACATCTTAAAAATTTTTAAATTTTATTCTTACAACGGTTAATTTCGCATAATAACATACGAATACAAAAAGTATCTTTTGTATCAATTATCAAATGTTGAGACTTTCAAACGTAATGGAAGCAAGGACAGGCCGTGATAAACAGGTTTATAAAAAAGGTAGCATACGTCAGGTTAGCAAATTTCTTGATTTTTGATCGAAAATGTATGATTAGTTTGTTCTTTCTAAAATCGATTTATTAGAAAATAAACTAATCTAAAGCTGTTTTTCTTTGTCGTAAATAGGTAGCTGGGTGTGTCCCAGTAAATAAAAAAACAGGTGAAATACTTTTAATAACACGGCGAAAAGGGGGCGGTTGGATATTGGTAAATATCAAATAAAATTTTTTTAATATTACGTAAAATATACAGCAGACTCTTGTTATAATTTATGACTGTTTGATTAAAGCCAAAAGGTGGATGGGAGAGTGATGAGTCACGACAGGAGGCAGCAGCAAGAGAAACATACGAAGAAGGTAACGATTTTTTGATTTTATTTTTTTATAATAAGAATAAGCTTAAGAAGAATAAGAATAATAATTTAGTCATTAAATTTAAGCCGGTGCCAAGGGACGAATAACGGGACTACTGGGTGAATGGGATCATCATGTTGTAAATAAATCCACGGGACTGCCAAAAGCAATGTTTAGTTTCTTTGAAATGGAGGTTGACAAATTGGAGGAAAAATGGCCTGAGATGGGGGAACGGGATAGACAATGGGTTTGTTATTAGATTTATTTATATACTATGTAAATATTTTTTAATATAATTGATTAATTTTATCAATTTTGAATTTTTTAACGTTAGTTTCATTACGATGAAGCTGTAAACATGGTAATAAAACCATTTATGCGAGAAGTAATTCAGAATTGCTCGCTTGCACCGCATACAGACAGAATTCAGGTATTATTTTAATTGGTATAATATAAACGTAATGGTAACAATAAATGATTCATTATTGACTCTAATCTTTTGTGTTTGGGTTGTCAGGATTCGACCAATTCTTCAGAAATAACAACAAACACCTCACTACCTGCAACCTCCTCATCGGAGGAGGACTTTAAAGACACTTGGATATGGCAGTTTTCTGTAGTCATAGTTTTATTTGCGTTTTTCGTATGGCTCGTGTTGACGCGATACGATCAAGATCTGATTCCGGAACGAGTTGGAAAAATAGTGCCGTTTTTTTCGTTTGCTGATGAGCAGTAATTGATCGAAGTTTTATCAAATCAACTATGTCACCACCTTTTCGGCATCCTCGTCAATATAATATTTTAATATACATTCATATGTGTATTATTATTTTTTTTATTTAGTTACGAACGATCACAAGACATTAGACATTATATATATATATATATATATATATATATATAGTACCTGTATTATATTAATTTTTCGTCTTAATTATTAGTTCTTATTGATTTCTAGATCACAGCATCGGACACAGCAGATTTTGCAATTGTACTGTGTTCAGTTCTAAAAATAAATATATTGTATTGTGTCGTGTATTATTACGTACAGTAGTCGTAATCATCATTGTCATGTCGTGCGTGATATCACGCCACCTTTGGATTGAGTGTTACGCAGCACATCTGAAAACGTGTGTCAGGTTAAGCCACGGTTACGTAATTCGAAATAAGTTATTTTTAATATTGTCTTCCCGTCATTTAATCCGTGTTTGTTTTCCCCGAGTTTGATAAAAAATTTACATATTGGTTTGTGCCACACCTCCCACTTTAACAACGGCGAACCTGTGGCTTAACCTAACATACATTTA